CGAGTGGACTGATAATGAATTATTGGCATTCAATTGCCCCACTGAGCCGTTAGGGAAATAAATTAATTTTCACAACACTTCTCACGGTTTTTTTATGTAAATAATGAGTCTATGCGTTGTTCAAAATTGTTGAATTTCAGAGCTTATTTGAACGTACCGTGATGGCCGCCGTTTGGCGTTACGTCGAATAAATGGTAATGTCAGTTTTTATGCTGTTTCGTTATTGGTCAGATAATCTTCCATCTCCACTCATGAAGTAAGGTTGTCAAGTCCCCAATTATAATTAATTTAACACAAAATTATAGTCCTGTCGTTGAATAAAACAAGAGATAAAACATAATATAAGGAAGCCATGATATAATAGTTCATTCTTCACTTTTTCGAGCAACCAGCATGTCTGAATATCTCTTATACTCCATAACAAGATATCATGTTGATGTTGAAGACTTGGCAACAATGTGCTGAATGCTGAGAACTGACAAGGCACCGCCCACAATTCGTGATACCGTGTTGTCACGTTTACCCTCAAATGTCCTGTAGTGTGAATTAATATAATAATATTATTATTAACACAAATGTATTATAGCAATAAGTCACAACAGATGAGGGAATATTTTGAGACAATTGATTTTCTATGTCTAATTAGGAATATAACCAATACGAAATGAATTATTGAATAATTGATATTTATGAAGTTCCAATCGTATTTCAACATATGGCAACTGTGCCATGGTCTGTCCCTACTTACGAAATCGTGACGTCAGTTTTTAGTCGCGGTAAATTTTCAGCTGTTTGAAAATTACCGTGGCATTATTTTTGATTTTACCACATTAAAATCGAACGAAATTTTTTTGAAAAATATGGAATTGAAAGGTATTTGAGTGATGATTCTATTTAGGAAATAAAAAAAATAAGTCCACTCGCCTATTGGCCTATTCGGCCAATTGACTTTCGACGAATTGACTTCGACAAATTGACTGTCAACGAATAGACTTTTGGTCAAGTGATATTTACGAGATCGATATGGATTCCATCGAGCGTGCGTATTTAGATCCTGTTGTTTAGTTTACTCACTCTTATGCTTTGGCTTTGCCGATGCTAGCGACGAAACGTGTGATGTTATTATTGGTTGATGGTAGCTAGCCAATTCGAATCCGAATACCATGTGACATACGTTGATCTCATGAATTATTATAGGTTGGATCCTTCGCCTTGCGCATAAACGGTTTAAGGCAAGCAATTTGAGATTCGAATTGTTGGGAATTGCCGCATGACGCCTGCTTTTGAAATGGTACCCCAACTTACACACTTGTTAGATAAATAACTATTATGCAACGATCATGTATTAATAAACTACCCAAGTACCTACCTACGCGCTTCTATATGCCAAAAGTACCTGTTTCCATTGGTCAAAATCTGTTTCATTATGTTGTTGAAATTAACAATATTGATAAATTGCAAAAATATTTTGATACCTCAGCAGCATGGTTTTTGTTCGGGTAGATCCACGGTAACCAATCTGCTGACCTACCAGGGTTCCCTGTTGGATGCCTTGGAGAGGGGTGAACAAGTTGACGCAATTTACACGGACTTCTCCAAGGCATTTGACAGAGTAGACCACAAAATTTTATTAGAGAAACTTCGTTCTTTTGGCTCGACCTAAATACCGATAAATGTTTTACGATATCGTTTTCCCGTTCTCATAATGTTGCCCTATATAATTATAATATCAACAGTACCTTCTTGAAAAAAGTAACCGAGATTATACTGAAAGTATCAGCATCCGCCAATAGAATGGTAGGTTTTCTATCGCGTGATACGAACAGTTTTTCATGCAACACATTGTATATTTTCTACTGTTCCCTTTTACGTTCCCTATTGGACTATGGCTGTATGATTTGGTCACCATACTATGCATGTGATATCACACTAATAGAACAAGTGAGATACGTAGTTTTTGGAAGGTATCGAATTAGTATAGATGTAGTTTTCATTAGGTATTAGATTAGTATAGAGGTCAGATATACGGCGCTATAAAAGCAGATGATATTTTATCATTGCTCATGTAAGATGGAAGTAGAGGCCATGGCACCATTTCATGGGCATATTTTTGTATTGAAACTATCATTGGGCACCAAAGATGTGTATACGACGCTATGAAAGTTCAGAGAACTGGAGATTTTTCCCACAAACTACGTACTTAGCCCACTCGACTGTCTTGGTTTTTCCACGCAAACTACGTACCTAGCCCACTCGACTGCCAATAGGGACGGAAAAAACAAAAACAAAAGAAAGTTAAAACTCTGCCAACATATTTCTTCTTTGTTGGAAATCAAGACAGTCGAGTGAGCAAGGTACGTAGTTTATGGGCAAAAAATTAAGACAGTCGAGTGAGCTTGGTACCTAGTTTATTGGCGAAAAATAAAGACAGTCGAGTGTGCTTTTTTTACTTTCTTTTGTTCTTTGTTTCGTTTTCTATTGGCAAGTGATTATCTAGGAACTTGTGAATTTTTTAGTTTTTTCATCGTATCTCCCGAACTATTGAATTCAGAGAAAAATGTTATCAGGATTTTTTGTAGATTCTATCAAAAGGAATAATTTTGGTTCCATAACATTTTCAGATATTTCCAGTTGTTTTCGAGATATTTGGAATCATCTGAGAATAAAATTTTCAACACTTTTGTTCCATCTTCCAATCAACAAAAGGAAAAAATATTTTATGGTTCCGTGGAAGTCGATGATCTTCATCTATCGATAATCTTTTGTTTTTCAATATATCTTCATGGTACCCTATGGGTCGTTCAATTTTTTTTTTCATATTTTTTACTTTATTTCCTGTACTATTGGGTTTACAGAAAAAATTTTAGGTAATAATTTGTAGGAAATGTTCCAGTGGATAACTTTGCACTCTTAATAATTTTCGATTTTTCCATTGGTTTTCGATATATATTGAATTGAAAGGATTTCAAATTTTGATGTTTTGATTTTCATTTGGTTTTTCCATTTTGCGATGGATGCACGAAAAAATGGTGACATAATAATTTGTTGCGTCATCAAAGAGGCATACGGTGCATTTTTCAAATTTGGATTTAGTCTCTTGGTTCAGGAGATATGTCGTTTTAAATCGAACCGTGTGTTTCGGAAAATCTCCTTGAAAAACCCACTTGGAAATTCCCGACCCTGCTCAATTTCAATAGGCTTCGTCTCTCCCTGATAGAGTTTTTTTTCACAAAAAATGAAATCGATCGGACCACTTTTGCGATTTGTAGAGTGGTCACAAAAAACTTCCGGTGAAAAATCGAAAAAACCCGGAAAAACCACCTTAGAGTTTTCCGATTTCCTTCATATTTTGATGACATAATATTGTTTTGAGTACAATAAGATGGCAAAATTTCAAGTCGATATGTCAAAGGGTTCCGGAGATATATCGATTTATGATTTCCACAGAGTACAGACAGACAGACCACACACAAAAACCAAAGTTGCTCAAAATTCGATGGGGATCATTTTCTCCAAAGTAACTATACCTCTATTTCGCTTAGTTCTCGAGATAGCATTTTTGGCAAGGCCGTAGTATACTCCATTATGTCGTATAACAAGCTCAAGTTAGATTCGCCAAACACATATCCTACAAAATGGGAACTTACCATCATTTCAACTATTCGGATACTCTTGATACTCTCTACCTAACTAATTTATCTGTCCGTCGCTTTAGGCTAGGTAGTTATTGATTGATTGATTGATTAATAGCAGAATGATCAGTCTGGGTTCGAAGCCCAAAACATTGCAGCCTTTAAGCCTATTGTATTCCTGATCATGCTGTTGACTTAGGTGAACAGGTTCGCTACCTTGATAAGGTTTAGCAGCCTCTTCACCAAATCATTCGTTGGAAAAGCCTCTTGAGAGTTTATATATAGGTATAGGTAGTTATACTATGTTTAAGATTATTTAAGCTGAAATTGATTGCTATGAGCTTCTCAACAGGATTAACTTCAATGTTCCCTCATATTTTACTAGAAACAGAATTATTTGTTATAAATAATCATAGAACCAACTATGGTTCTTCAGCCCTTTTTCCCGCAATTTGCGTAATTTTAATGTATTTAACATTGACCCATTCGTTCAGTCTTCAGCCATATTTAAAAATAGAAATTGTAAAATTGATCCTAGGTTAATCAGGCACCATTAATTTAGTTGATACCTTCTTTTTTCTCTTTTCTTTTTTTCATTCTCTTTGGGCATAATGTAATTGTTCAACCTAATGGCTGTAAATAGGAAATAGTTTCAACAACAAGTTGTAGTGTTTACAAAAAGTTAAATTTATTTTATTGTTGAATTTCATTTGTAGATGCTGTGATGTTATTGCCCTGCTATCTTGATCATATATAATTAATTTCTATTGTCAAGGTGAATCCGTTTATTAAATCAAAAAAATCGGAAGCAGATATTTATTTCGCGATTCGTAATACGGGAGTAGAAAAAGTTTATTGAAATATATTGGAGTCTTTGTAACTTGCGCGATTTTTCAAAATACAGAAAGTGTTTTAAAGATCAGTTATCCACGAATACTTTATTTGATTTCATTGGTACACTTTGGAGGAATACAAAATTAAATACGACGTAACGTACTCCTGTCAGATCAATAATCACATGTTGTTGATGTTGCCGTGAAACTTTGAAAACACGGGCCTTTTGGAAAGTTGGATTTGTACACGCTGATGCATACTTTCAAGCGAGCGAAATATGGAACCAATGAAAAACTAAATATTCATGAACAAAGCATATTGTTGATAAATGCTATGTTTACCTAACAACTTCTCCATTTGTATGACTCAATAGTCTATGGAAGCTACTTGAATAGTTATGGAGACAATATCTAACTGATTCAATTATAAAGTTTTAGGCCCCATATAGAAAAGTAAGTTATGGATCTTGGACTTACTCGCATTCACATGAATTTATAACATTGAGATTGAGTATGTCTTATTTGTAATATGCAGTTACCTACCCGTTGGACTTGATCAAGACCCGGCTACAGATCCAGGGCGAACAATCAAAAAATGGAAAACTTGGTCAGGTAAGAAACCAAAAATATTGAGATAATTTTTCAATTATTCATAATAGTTATTTATACACCAAGGTAGTAAAGAATATCAGTATTAAACACGGGCCAAGATAATATCCCGAAGCTTCAGCCGAGGCGTATAAGATCCAGTTTTTTTTTGGGATCTTGTCTCCCCGTTTCTATGAAACAAATTCATCATTATGCCAATATATTTGTAGTGAGGACAAATCAGATAATTTGCCCCGGAATGTCACTGCGTTTAGAGATTTAAAGAACGAAACTGCTTCCGTTTTCAACATATAAATTGGAAAATATTTTTCTCACAAATTGTCTTCAGGTTTTAACACTTCTCAGTGACAAATGGCGACGTTGGCAAACAAATCAGTTACAGAATGTCATTAATAATTAGTCTTGAATCAACCATTTTCCTGTATATATTTTAGTATTGAATAATATGTTCTATACAGTGTGTCCCACTTACCATGCTCACCATGGGTATCTTTTTAACGGTGAGAGATACGAGGTCGGTTAAATGACACCAAATGTGAAGTTTATCAAGGCCAACTATAATGTGAAAAAATATTTTCATAAAATCTATTCGTTTTTGTTTTATACGCAAAAAACAGATTTTGATCATTTTCATGTCTCCTCCGTAACTTCTTTATTTATGAAAATATTCGAATAGGAATTTCACATTCTCATGGCAGTTTTTTGAAGTGATTTCGAAAAAAATATGAAATTTATACCAACTCTTCTAGAATTTGAGATATCAGCACCAACTTTAGTTTTTCAAATGTAGGTCATAGCTCACTATGACTTAGTTACAAAAAACTTTTTTTCCTCTTTCAGATCATGTGTTGCAGTAATAGTTTTGTGTTGATAACAACGGAGTTATCGTCATTTATACAAAAACAAAAAATTATTTGGAAGCCGCCATCTTGAATTTATTAATTTTAACAAGAAAATCATGATCTCCGACCTCAAAAACCCCCACTTAGCAATTTTGAATGGAATCGGACCAAATCTTGTCCGCCATCTTGGAGCAGCCATTTTTTGCAATAGTATATATAATTTTTCACTTTCGTTTTATTACAAAATGATAATCATAACTTGTCAGTCATTATTTTGCAAATGAATTTGTTTCTTCATAAAATGAATCTATTTTCTAGGAAAATTGCAGATTGTATCTTGCAACAGCGCATAACATTTCGGCCCGTCCACACCACACAAAATACTAACAGACACACCGACAGCTGATCTGATATTGTGGTTATGTATGTTTTTGTTTACCAGTTTTACTTGTATCTATTTTTGATCTCCAATTATTCGTTAGCCTATGTCTACAGTTTATAGTTGTTTTGTTAGTTAGGTGATCATCGCTATTTTTATGATATAAACATCTTCTTCTTAGTAGTGGAGACTTCACTGAAGGCCCCTTCAAGTTCAGCCTCAAAGGAATATGTACCCAGTGTTTTGTCTCATCAACAACGACACCAAGTTGTCTTTTTCTATTTTTTGTATTCGTTAGATTTTCGCTAGATATATTCTTCGTCATCAGCTAAATTCAGACTAGATTAAGAATGTACGTCACAGTTTGTCTCCCCAAAAATTGGAAATTGCTTTGTTTTGTCTATGCGCTGAAATTCGCTAGATAGCCGTTCACGATGCAGAGGTACTGTCGGTTCGAATCCGGCTGTCGGCTGAGCATTTTTCTTTAAAATCTGTGATTCATGGTTGTAATCCTGGCAGCACCTCGATGACCTAGAAGTGGTTCGAATTCCACTATAAGCTGTAGGCCCCGCTCTTCCTAACCCCGCACAAGTTTCGACTTCTGGGGAGTTGGTTCCCAACTTTGAAGTAGCGATATACAAAAAAAAATTTGAAAATAAAAAAGATTTGGACTTTACCGACCGCAATTCTGTATAGCGTGGACATGAAACTGAGAAGTTTGGACCTCATATTATGAAAATTCATCTGAAGCAAACTTCCCCATCAGTGGTTGTGACATCATCAACCAGGTGAATGGCTCATGTCTAAACGACTGTATTGTGGCTACTAGTACTAGCATATTTTGAAGTAGTTTTCTCATTTCATTTTCTTATGCGGTTGTTGAAGAAAACCATGTGTCATTTGAATTGAACGTGGCTTTCTTCGACTCGCAATTTCTGCGTCCTCGTTTATAATTTGTATATATTGAAGAACTCTTCGCCAATATCTTCGCATCAAACCTACTATCGTTGGATACATATTTATATAAAACATGGGTGTGAAGCACTCTGTATGTTTGAGTATTGTGATACACTTTGTATGTAGGATGGAGTAGAGTTTAGTGTCAGAGTGACATAAAGAAAGAAGTCATAGTTATTTATCGTTGATTGATATATTACGCTTACGCTGGGAAGATGCCCAACCTTATGGGGCAAAACGAGGTCCAAAAAAATCTCACAACTAGATGGCGTACTATAGTTCGAAATCTCACATAGTGGCGGCGATAGTGTCGAACGATGTCGGAGCAATACTTCGTGATTTGACTGGCAGGTGCGCCACTTACGAAGAGATTCTATTGGAATGCAGATGGCGTGCGACTTAGAACAATTAAACAATCCATAATCCAGAACTCTTGTATCGAATCCACCATCAATCAGTACGATTCTAACTAATATGGCGGTAAATTCGAATTTGTTAGTAATAGTTGTACTGGATGTGCTTTTAACGAGCGCATCACGGACGTGAGATCATGAAAAAAGTTTATAGAAATCGAATTGGAGTGAATCACAAAATTTAATGTCTCAACAATAAATGCTTCTATTTTTGGCGATTGTGGAATAAACTGGTCAGCGGATATCAATATATAAGCTGCTCATAAATTTGATCGAAATTCACGAACCCGGACCAGTGTTGTCACCTTAGTGTATTTTACCCTAGAACTGAATCTAAATGGGTCTGTTTGAGTGGAATTTCATATTTCATTATGTCGAATAACTAAATCAAACTATAATTCACTGTCGCAAATCATTTTCTTGTCAGAGCTATGTACAATTTTTGAAATTTTTATCATTGAAATTACTGATATGTATCACATGAAAGACGCGGAACATATTGCGTGACAATTCTATACCGCTATCAATCCAAAGTATTTTATAATATACTGGTATATGATCCGACCTATGTATTGCCGAAACTTGGAGTGCCAATAATTTCCTTTGACTTTTGTGGGGCGGCCGACTCGGTGCGTTTATCGGCAATAGGGCTGCCAAGCCGTCGTTTGTTGCCCTAACAACACAAGTACCTCCTAAGGACGTCCCAGGGACGTCCCTAATTTTATACAAGGACATCCCAGAGATATCCTTTGTCGGGACAGAGTACATACTAGGGACGTCCCAGAGAAATCAGCTGGCTGACAAAAAAAGCATCCAAGGGATTTCCGTAGGATATCCCTAGGAGGTCCCAAGGATATTCCAGGGACATCCCTTCGACAGAAGAAAAAAAAAATGTAGGTCCAGTAGGGTTTGAACCCGGGACCTTTAGCTTCAGGCACGCACCTTACCCCATTGGCTGATATGCCTTCTGAAGATTTATGTACCAAACATCGATTTTTAAACAGGACTAAACTGCAGAAACCTGAATAAATACAACTTTGTTAGGATTTGGGTATAATTATTATCATTCGTGGATGTTTAAAAATGAGGGGCATTATGCATTTACGATTTCTGTTTGCGAAAAATGGCAATTTCTTGAGAAGTTCTGAGACAATTTTCTTTATTTTCATTACAATTATTTACCGGAAAAAAATCAAACATTTTCATAAAAATTCAACTCAATATTTTGATGAAAGTCAATGACTCTGATGTGAATAGATATCAGATATTCCAGGGACACGAATAGGATAACCCATGGATGTACCGGGCCAGATGTCCACTGGACAACCACTGCGGGACATCCCCTGGATACCCCAATTATGTCCTTGTACCGTGTGACAAAAAGGGCACGTACATTCGTTAATCTATGGTACGTACCTAGAACATCCCTGTGTTGTTAGGGCGGAGATTCTGAGCGTTCCGTAGTCTGTACTCCGTTGTTCTGGAGGGGCAAAATCGATTCTACTCAGAAAAAGTTACTGGTATCACAAAATATCAACGCCGATTTCATGATTTTATATCGTGGCATATACCTAGACTGGAAATGTAGCAGTAGCTGCATATAGACTGGAAATGTAGCTGTTTTCTGATGATTTTGTTAATATCTCTTCAAATATACCAAAAAAGAATTCATATTTTTCAACAATAACTAGATACTGTAAAAAATGGTTCATAAGCTTGCAGCTTCAACTCTTGTAATCCAATAAATAAATGAATTCTATATATGTTCCAATAGTTATGACTCACTCTGTATATTATGCCTATTATAGATGATGTATTTTATTTCATTTTTATAGGGAACCATAAACAATCAAAGATTCAAAGATATCTGACTATTTATTTTCTATCTACTGATGAGACTCTAAGAAATTATCATATTCAGATTGATTATATTATCAATATTTTGTAATGTGTTATTAATACAAATTTTTAATATGGATACAAATTGAGTGAAAAAAATAATCAACGAAAAAGGCGTGAGATGTTTTTCCAGATATATTGGTCTAGGCAAAGTATGACAAGTTATTCACAAGGGAATTTTATAAAACGCCACGGAGTAGGAACCCAACTGAGTGAGAGATCATAATAATGTTCTTCTCTCTTCTGCAAGGAACCGAGGGAAAATCAATACTCGTAACCCGTTGTTATTGTTGAGGAATGCGGATTCCCCATATACGTCCATGGGATTCACCGACCGTAGCAAACATTTTTTCATCGGAACCGGTCGGGCGGGTCGGTTCTCATCGTAGAAGACAAGGATAAACAAAAATTTCTGGAGCGATAGCACGCGGTGGGATGGGATCTGTAATTTTCTGTACAAAAGTGTAGTAATCTGTACAAGTAGTTCAGACATGTTCTGTGTGCCTAGTGGAGTCGCTACCTCACAGTGGCTAAACGATAGACGAGGGGATGAGCGGGGCATCGACTCGCAAATAAATAACACAGGTTGGGCATCTTCCCAGCGTAAGCGTAATATATCAATCAACGTATTTATGTATCAAGAGCGTAAAGTTGGTTTTTATAGACTGCAGTGTGTCAGTAAGCGCCCGAGCGATAGCGTGGGCTATTAACACGCCTAGGTCCATAAAAACAAGTTACGCCCGAAATACGTTAAACATTTTATGCACGACCGTTTTAGATATATTTATTTACTGTCAATATGGAGTTTATTCATGATTTTGAATTCATTTTGCCAAATTATCTATGCCACTGCCGAAGATAGATCAAATTGTAGTCTACTACAAATTACTGAAAAAACAGTGAAATCCCTTTAACGCCCGATCACCAATTTTACCGCCCGCCGAACTACTTTACCGCCCGCTGTACTCAGTTATCGCCCTAGGGCGCTAAATTGCTATTTTAAGCCCGCATATCTGGGCGATAAAAGTACCACTTGACGCTGGTCCTGCATGAAATATCTTCGAAGATTCATTATTATCACAATGGGATAATATACGGAATGTCCAAAAAAAGTTTTTTAATCGTCTTTCTGTTCACGAACTTGAAATGTACGAACACAATAAATTAATATTGGCTCAAAATAAATATGTACTGATACCTTTATCTACATTGTTTTCAACAATTATTTCGAACATATCGACAATGAAGATATTTTGACATTAGTTTACTTGATAGTCGTCTATGGGAATGAAATTATTATCATGACTCCAATTTGAAAGTTCAAATTATTCAACTTATGCTCGCATTGTTAATGAATGTGATTGTTTTATAAATTGCGCGCTTTTTAAACGAATGTTATCATTTTAAAAACAACTAGTTAATTTTGAACTTGCTGGAAAATCATATGGAGACATTTTCTTTGGCTCACTTATGCAGCGTATTTTTTCAACTAGGCGCTTTCCCAACAAATAAGGTGATTTATGGATATTGGCGAAAAAGTTCTCATATGAAATTTTCAAAGAACACAAGTAGGCAAGTGACGTACTTGGAATTTTTCACACATTCACTTTGAATTTTCAACAACGATCAATTTCGATGGGTACAAAATAAATGCTTGGCAATGTACGTGAGTCTTTTTCCCTTCGCCTAGCCCAAACATAGATATTTTGGCCGCTCTTGTGGTAACACCAAAGTATGGTTATGGTCCTATGAACTTAGATTCGGTTCCCTATTCGACAAGGGACACTCTGTTGTTAGCACCATTGCACTAGGGATTCTATACAGTTAAATACGTGGTATTATACATAATATGAACATTGAACAGTTTATAGGTTATTTTCTAAATGGAATCCACCTACTTATATACAGGGTCGCTGATATGTATGGAAACAGGTGAATATCTTGATAACCTGTTGTTGGTTTTTTAATTCATCTACTGTTTGATTTCAAAACTTGGCGGATTTGAAAATGTTATAGCCAATGTTGCCACTTTTTCAGTTATTCCGAATTTTTTATTAACTTCCATATTTTGAATGGAACACCCTGTACTCCATTGAATCTTCAGATTCTCCTTGAAAAGCTGATTCCATCGATCTATCACACTTGGGGTCTAGCGGGAATGATTACATAGGTATAGGGTGTTTAAAATCTAGATTTTTCAACTTTAGGATTTTTTTGTGTCGAAACTATTCATTATCGAACAAAACCGCTTCAATGTTTCTATCTTTACTTTTGATTTACTATCTACTGACATTTAATTGAAATAAATACAGGGTGGTTCAAGGTTCAAGAATCTGTTCCAATTAAATGTCAGTAGATAATAAATCAGAAGTGAAGATAGGAACATTAGAACGGTTTTGATCGATAATGAATAGTTTCGACACAAACAAATCCTAAAGTTTGAAAATCTAGATATTAAACACCCTATACCTATGTAATCATTCCCGCTATACCCCAAGTGTGATAGATCGATGGAATCAGCTCTTCAAGGAGAATCTGAAAATTCAATAAAGTAAAGGGTGTTCCATTCAAAATAAGGAAGTTAATGAAAAATCCGGGATAACTGAAAAAGTGGCAACATTGGCTATAACATTTTCAAATCCGCTACGTTTTGAAATCGAACAGTACATAAATTCCAAAAATTCCAGCAACTACAGGTTACCGAAATATTCACCTGTTTCCATACATATCAGCGACCATGAACATGTTTGTCAAACTGTCAAATGATTGACTTCCTGATAGTTTTGGGATTATTTCTATGTATATTCATAAAATTTGAGGTGGGAATGAGTTGATGGGTATAGTATTACTCATACAATTTCACGAAACTGAACATTTCACGTGATAGGAGTTTTTCGTAAGATTTTTTCTCATAATCGTTATGTGTTAATTTGAAGGAGAGGTGAGGTGATAGACTTATATTAGATAATACCTATATTTTTATAAATGATAATAGCATCGTAGTGACCGCTGAAATATTGTAATGATTTGCCGCTCTCTGCTTGTTATTTATTATTTGCAGACATGGAAACGACCGATTGTGTTATAGTTCGATCTTTGTAAGTGAAAAGCGATGAATCAATAAAATATTCCAACGGCCGCTACGATCAGTTATAGAAACCCTGTATTATTTGTTCTGATCGCACACGTTGATGATATTATTAGCTAGTTTTCGATATACTTATTCGGAAGGAAACATAGTTCTGCAGTTATTTATTGATTTTGCTAGAAACTCATAATTGGAAATTTAACAGTGCTGGAAAATACATTTCTCTCCAATTCCAAAAGTCTGAAGAAATGAACATTAGGCATCAGACATTTTTCATGATTTTCTTTTATAGGCTCCACATAGAGGCTTGATGAAAACTGGTCTAGGAATTGCTAGAGAAGAAGGTGTTATGAAACTATGGCAGGGCATCCATGCTGCTTTTGGTCGACATTTGATTTATTCTGGTACTAGAATAATAACATATAAAGCTTTGAAAGATGCTTTGAATAGAAGACATCCTGAACACAAGCATTTTCCTCTATGGCAATCAGCGTTATGTAAGTATAACCATATTTTTAATTCAGAAATAGTCGATTGTACATAACTAACACATAGATAGGTACTTGTATTAATAATAAGCAATTATAATAATCAATACATAACATAGATTGTTCAAGTTGATTCGGGTGCCTGAAATATATTCGGTCTATACCAAATGATTTCATTCTGCAGGAAATGGTAAAATATCATTATATCTATAACATATGAGGGCGATGAGAAGTCTTATTCACCACTGAAGCATTCAAGACGTAATTTCCAAATGATTTGGATATGCATATCCATTTGGCGAATCTTTTGCGGTCGTCAGGGTTCCAGAAATTGTCCATAGATCAAGAGAGTCGAAGTAATATTCACGTTAACAAACGCGAATAGCTTGCATAATCTATATGTATAGTGCATCCAAAACTTCGGTACTGAGATCTCTGAGTAAATAATAAAGATTTGGCCAGCTCATCAAAGTTGCACCAAATTCGATTGTGAAAATTAATTTTCTAAGGAATCATTGATGGCCAGTTCATGATTTTTTCGAAATTCTCTTGGTGTTTTGGTCAGTTCTTCCTAATGTGTTCAATTTTTATATACAGTATTATGCTGAGTATGGAATAAATTCGATATTATTTTATTTATCCAATATTTTTTGAATTTTCTCTCCTCGTTTCTATAAAATGAAAATATGAATATTATTTCAATACACCTGTAGTAAGGACAAATCAGATGATTCGCCCCAAAATGTCACTGCGTTTAAAGAATTTTCCTATCAGAGAGCCTAAAAGAAAATTTCACTAGCTTGTCAGTGACAATTTGTATTGAAAAAAGTTATGAGAAGAGAAATGAAGGTATATAGAGAAAATATCAAATTTTCACTTATCTCTGGACGTTTCGGGACCGAATCTGCTCCCGTTTTCAACATAAAAAATGGTTATTTTAATAGCTATTGATTTTAAATTTTTTTCTATATACCTTTATTTGTCTTCTCCAAACTTTTTTCAATATAACTTGTCACTGACAAGCTAGTGAATTTTTCTTTTAGGCTCTCTGATAGGAAAATTCTTTACGCAGTGACATTTCGGGGCAAATCATCTGATTTGTTCTTACTACACGTATATTGAAATAATATTCATATTTTTATTTAATAGAAACGAGGAAAGAAAATTCCAAAAAATTTGGAATACCACCTCCTCGATTAACCTACAGACAGTATTCGATATTTTAGTTATGAAAAACCCTCGGAAAGGTCAATTTGGGTTCTGAAAACCCATCTCAAGCTATTGCGAAAATAAACAGGTGATGTGAATCTGAGTTAAAATGAATTGGGCATGCTTTTCAAATGCGACACTTATGTATGTTCCATATCAAGATAGGAATTATCAATGATACCGGATTTACACTTCCTCCCCTGCGTTTCCTCTAGAAAGGTGGAAAACACAATAATGATAATAATACCCACGTTAGTGTCAACAGTCGGTACACCCCTTCGACAGAGTCATTTTGAAAAAATTGAGCCTGGTATGACTCAGTAGGAGAGAAGTATACTCCACTTCCATCATAAGCTCTTTGTCGAAAGCTATTTTCGAAATCCGAATCTTAAATTTTCAAACGATATGTCATGGAGCGTTCCGAGATATTCGCAAAAAATAGCGAAATTTTCGAAATATAACCTCATGAAAAGTTGAAGTAGATAAAATTGTCTATATTTTTTGCTTATTGCTGAAGGACTAATGGGCGAGGAGCTAGAGCTGTCGGAAATAGGCGAAATTTGCGTACTTTGCAAAAGATAGCGTTCTCCGTCGGTTTTCGCAGATATTTAATAAACTACGCATTTCTCAAAGAAACGTACCATACTGCCTGATGAAAACAACGTTGACAAATAATATCCTTTTTTGTCGGTTTTCCGCAGATAATGTCCAAATTGAATTAATATGCGAGACGGTGAACGGCATTTATAGACTTGAGAACGTATTTTGGTCGTAGTTACCACTCTCAAGTTAATCTTGCGTTGAAATAATTCTAAATAATAGGTATTCTTTCGATAGTTCCAGGATGTGAAGGGAATGAGGCAGCATATGGCTCAGCAAAAAAAAAGATCCAGGGTCTACATTCTTTGGTCCTGAGCCTTTCTGTGGTACAAGCAAACGTCACCTAATCGCAGAGCTCAGGAAATGGAAAGAAAGCGAAATATCTTCCTTCTGGTGAGCATCTCCAGGTCAACGAAAACAACATAAAAGTTCATCAACAATTTGAAACACTGAACCAATGAGCTACAGAGTATCAGCAAAGCAGAGCTAAATCACTTTCTCTGAGGTATTACTAAAAAATGGACCTATCGGAGAATAACACCTGTCCCATTTAGGACCTGTCATATATCTCAATCACTCTTACTCATGTTTCCGAACTCCAAGAATCATTACTTGCTGTCATGAAAGGCAGTTTTAGGGTTCCTGCGCATTGAGCAGAAGCGTTTTCAGGCGAGCTATTTACCCGATATTCTCGGGTTGCTGGGACTTCTAGCGGTCTAGATATTATTTATGTTAGTGATTAGTCCAACAAAGGCTGACTCACCTAGAAAAGGTCCACCTGACGCCTGCTGTAGTGGAAAATTTAAACGTCAAGAAAATCCTAGGCTCCATTAGAAGACTAGAGCTATAGGAGACAATTAATTAATTAATACAATCGTCTAATCTAATCGTCGCTACATCGTCGTTTGGCGAATAACAAATGACAGGTAAGAAAAGCAATATTCTACCTAGTGAATATAAATATTCTTGTACAGTGACAAGTCGAGAGTCGAGTTATTCACGCTGACAGTGGCAAGAATTCGTAGATTAGAAATTATCTGCGAAAACAGGGAACGCTGTTTTCACATCAGGCATTATAGAACGTGTCTTCGAGACATGCCGTAGATTAGAAATTATCTGCGAAAACCGACGAGAACGCTAATTTTTGCTAAGCTCCTCACCCGTTCTATATGAGCAATAACAATTAAATTTAGACAATTGCATCTCCTCCAACTTTCTATAGGCGGATGAATTTACGATCGCAGCGCCAAAGTGGTCGGTTGTGAACTATATGAAAGTACATTGTTTTGAAATGGTTCATATGCTTGTGTGTATTAATAAGATTTTTTCGTTGTGATTTGAGCAAAGAATACTTCACCTTTGACTATTTCTTTGTGTACTCTTGTGAATCGAGGGAGCTTTACAGCAGATATTCATTGAATAACGTGTGTTTCACTACTTCAAATACAAATGCACCAATTTGATGTAACTTTAGTTTGCATTTCGTTCCCATTCAGTAGTGAAATAAATATTGCAAAATTATTGGAGTGAATATGGTATTGAAGTTCACAGAGTGGGTATATGAGATGTATATATTGTAGTCGAATCATCTACTTACATGTGTTCATGAAAGAGAAAAAGTCATCATAGCTATGTGCGAATAATTGATCTGGTAGGAGAAATTGAACATATTATGTACTTTGCTTTTGAGTAAGGATTCAATTGTTTCAAATTCCGCCTGTTACTTCACTTTCGGTGGCAAAATGCAACTGAATTCAATCTCGAAGTTGAGAGAATATCTTTCAATTATACACTGATTGAAATCATCATTTTCTGTGAAATGCAGAAAACTTTCATCAATAACATGTGAAACAATAATGATTCAAGATAAAAATATCACAATGACTACTAAACTTGATATATACCTAGGAACGCTCCAGGAAATTTTATTTGCAAACTTCAAATTCGGATCACCCCAAAAAACTAATTGGAAATATTTCAGGTATAAAATCCTGACCTCAAAATATGAAGAATCAACCCAAATCAACTAGATGAAATGTGTCTCCTGTCTGTTACAGGATGTTTCATTATTTATTATTTATTATTTATTATGTACATAAGATGGCTTTGGTATTCGGAAAATGATCAAACAATGACAATAGCTGTTCAAAATTTTAATATGAAAACAAGACATAGTGAATAATTGTTCTTCTTTTAAGGAACTGGCACTTGAAAGAATATCGAAAAAACTGCTCTATATTGTTTTGTGGAAAGGGATCACAAAGTAACCTTTCTAGGTATAACAATAAAGGATACATGTTTCCGGTCCGGCTCTAGATTTTTTTCTCCAGACCCACAGACAATTTCTATAATGTTGTTCCGAATTTCAAATATTCATGTTCAAATTTGAGGGAAAATGGGTGTACCACCCGGTTTATATCAGGGTTTTCATGATATTATTTGTGAAGAAAATTGCGCACCAATAATGATTAGATGATCTCAATGCTCTTATGTTGTTTGTTATTGTAGTCCAAGAACCGGCTGTAAATGTCTACCGTCATCTGATAAAGAAATCACATATGTCCCAAAGGCATGTAGAAACATTGTATTTCATTGAACGGTAACTGTCACTTTCCTGAGTGAAATGATAATGGTAATTTGCGCTAAATTGCGCGTTTTGATAACGAGATGTGAATTATGCCATCCGATACCAATTGAATGGTAGAAGGATTGTGATTGGGACAAGTGATGCCGTTCGATAAATAGTTATTTATAATACAAGGGAAAAAAGTAGTAGATTTTAGCTCCAGGTTGTGTTGTCTGCCGACGCGTAGCGGAGGGAGACAAAAAACCGTGAGATAAAATCTAATATTTTTCCCGTGTATAATACACTATTTTTTTATGTGACAGAAGAAAGGACGAATCAATATTGAGAAGATATCACATTATTTCGAAATCTGAAAAATATCGACGTGAAATTTTAAGTTTTCAACAGTAGGGACATCTGCGTTGTAGGCAGCTTTATCATTCTTTTGAAGTAATCAAATATCTGATGTCACTTCTGTCAGTCTAATTCTGTGATTTGATTTCAAAAAATTACGAATTTAATGGTTGTAGTAATATACGTAACCGTGAAGTCGAATGGAAGATAAAAGGACTTGCAGTTCTTTCTCGGATACGGTATTATTGACTCATTTTTCGGAACTATAGCACAACAAAAGTCATCAACAGTGTATATATGTGATATATATCCGGGAAAAAAGTACTCACTTTTTTCTCACGGGAAAAAAGTAATTTATGAAAAGTGACATTTTATAACCTGCCAACAGAGATGAATTGCCAAACTTTTTTCCCGTCAGAAAAAATAAAATTTTTCTGTGACGGAAAAAAGTTTGACATTTAATCTTTGTTGACAGGTTACAAAATGTCATTTCTCATAAAGCTACTTTTTTCCCACGAGAAAAAAGTGAGTACCATGTTCCCGGATATGTATAGGTACACTGTTGATGGCTTTCCTTGCCCCATTTCCGAAAAATAAGCCAATTACACCTTTTCCGAGAAAGAACTGCAAGTCCTCTTTATCTTCCATTCCACTTCGCGGTTGCCTAAATTTTACTAAACAACCACTGAAATTGCAATTTTTTATAATCAAATCACAGCATTTTATTCACAGATATTTGATTACTTCAAAAGGTTTCCCCAGCAACAAAGATGCCTGTAACCCAGGTGTAATTGTCGTAGCCTATCAGTTAAAAACTTGATATTTCTGATCCTAATATAATGTAATATCTTCTCAATATTGAATCGTCGTTTTTCCTGTCACAGAAAAAAACTGTATTTTAAACGGCAAAAATATTAGATTTTAGCTCTCTGTTTTTTATATCGAGCTACATTCTAATACTATATTCCCTTGTATAATAAATTACTAGTTTTCACATGCCTTCGTAACTTATTATGTCATTTAGTTATATGACGACTGTCGAAATTTCCAGCCGGCTCTCTTACTATTAATTCAAACACACTGTCTCAGAGAGTCGAGAGGTTCAGGCAGCTTTTCGCATGACTTGCACCCAGTTTTAAAATTAATTCAGCAGTTAGTCTTCTGGATGAAACCGACGATGTGTTTTGAAGGTGGGGTCTCAGCAGGCGCATTTGCTCAATACCTCGCTAGTCCCACCGACCTGATCAAGGTGCAACTCCAGATGGAGGGGAAACGGAGACTGTTAGGACTTCCGCCTAGAGTGAATGGGATGTATGACGCCTTTCAAAAGGTCTGGTCTGCTGGTGGAATCAGAGGCCTGTGGAAAGGTAAATAAACATCGACTTCATGTGAACTGCTGATCAGATGAACCTCAACAAGCAAACCATTTGTATTTTCTGAAGGAATCGGAACGATTCACGTGCGGTTCTAAGCGTCAAATGTTGTCATCCATCACTTCCTAAGCATTTTATTGTTATAACTTGCTTAGCTTTGTCTACAAATATTTACGTTTTCAAGTGGCAATAAAGCATATTTTGAAAAATCATGAAAAATCATTCATGTCTCAAAAAGGTCCCAGTAGTTTCAAAGAAAAACTAAGAAACACCACAATCACTCACTTAGTGTTTTTCGTATATATTCTGTGAAGCATATTTTGATTTGAGTTTTGTTTGAAATTGATGAAACACAACATTCGATGCCGAAAACAGCAAGTGAATCGTTCGATTCTTTCGGAAAATACAAGATGTCAATGAGGTCAAGGTTGAAAGAAATGATAGGGATTCTTCTTCTTTTTATTTCTTTTGGCTTCTCCCTATGATATCTTCTTCACTGCAAATGTAAAAAAATGCATGTAAAATTCCACATTGAGAGTTGAAAACGGAAGTCCAACCGTGACTTGAGCTCTTCAATTTGTTCACATAATTTTTCCAGAACATTTTCGGAAAATTAGGTCTTAGCGTTCAGGATATTGAAAATGTTAGACCTCATTGAGATACTCTCAAAATAATGCATCATGCTATAATTAATGCAACATTGCAATCGAAAATTCACCGATAGTTCCGTGTGTAACCGTGCACTGATATTATTTGTAGATAGTCTGTGTGATGGTGCAATTATAATGAACGAATGTGATTAATGTAATATAGCTATTGACTCCAAAATGAATAGGTCACTTACAAAAAATGTGTAAGTAGTTCTCTCTGTTATATTGTTGACTTGAACACAGAGCAGCAAAATCGATACAATATTCTACTTCCATATTACGGAGGCACGGTGTACAAGGAAAATGTTTGTACGAATTTCAACTTCAGATATTTTCGTGATTTCTTCACATATTCGGATGCGGTTGTGTTTATTTTTTTATAACATCTGGTTAGACTTGGTGACTAAAAAACTTTTACAGAATACGAAAAATACATGTGAGATATTTTTGTGATTTTTCGCAATTTCTTTCTCATAATGCTTGAGCATATGCCTCGAAACGGATTTGCAATCTCGTTCTAATCTCTTCAATTATCTGATAAAACCATAAACATTTTGGGTTGTTACGAGCAATTTTTCGGAAAATTTTTTCATCTACAGACTGTTTCACGGAAATACTGACGAGTACCTATACAGGGAAGCATTTTCGGACTCATATTAATAGAAGCTTTTTTATTTATGCAAGGATTATGCCCCCGAATGGATGCCATTTGTTTTTTAATCACCCAGTATGTATAATTTCAAGAAATAAAGCACGATACGTTGACCAACTTGAAATTGCCTTTTGTTTCATTTTAATGCGCTGACTTTTCTTCTTTTTTTAATTGATACATTTTTGTTCATTCTTTCCATCATTTTCTGAGTGCTTCCTGGTAGGAACTAGTTTCTGGGGATTCTTCAATTGAATTAAGTACGGCTTCTTCTACTGCTGCAGTTCTCGAGTACGACCAGAATCATAACTTCTTCTTTAAAAATTACCACGTTCCTGCAAGCATCGGTGAATAGTTGTGAACGTAGTATGATGGGGTAATCTTTCCTTCCACCACTAGCTTATAGAGCCTACCATTATCTACTACTTTTGAAGGCGTAAAGTGTGTTTTACTACCGAGGTAGTTTTCGACATTTCATGCACCACTACATAGCCACCTCTGTTATAATTAACCCGAATTCACTGTTCTGATGGCACTCGAATCTAGTAGGTATTTATCAATAACGACTTGTCATATGCTGTCATGGTGACTAGATTTTAATTAGAATTGAAAAGAAGTGGTCCCATAGCGACATAGGTCCATATTTCAGTTTTACTATATTGCTAGTGGTGAAAAAAATTTAATGTACATCTTGGTAGTGAAGAATATTATCACCATATTATATACGCAGGGTATAACAGGAAGTTATAGTCATGTTGTGGCTATCTGGTGGCAAAGCTCTAAGGTAGGATCCAGAGATCGCGACACACACTGTATGGCGCTGCCATCTATAGTCACACGTACAGACCCCTACGTCTATACGCTACAGAGTGGTACTACAAGTAAACCATTATGCTGACAGATGGCACTACCTGACATACTTGAGTGGATTTTTCCACCACCTATTCAACTGCTAGATCTCATAACTAAGAGATCCAGGATGAACAGAGTTGCCCCAATCGTCAGCAAGAGCGAGACAGTACTGTTTCGACCCACCAGGTCTCATCAGCCGCTCTCGGTCTGCAGACAACCATATTATATTTTATGTCTTGGAGGGAGAGGAGGTAGGTGTTGGATTTTTTTGAACTTTCGGGGGTTATGGGTTTTTGGGAATACTTTCATTAGCAAAGAAATCTAAAACTTTGCCGAGACGAACGAGTTTTGGTAAAGTGTCGTTTGCGACATATTTCAAGGTTGTCAACGAAAGAATGTGCTGACTGGGCATGTCGAATTCGTCTCACTGGGAACATTCCCCGTGGAAGTATCTATAGAAAAGTGATAGGTCGCCGGCTTTTCTACAGTGTTATAATGAGGACAAAGGATTAGTGAGTTTGGCATCACCCACCAGGCGAATGGCTCTTCTCTGGAAAGAATCTAAGAGCATCAGCGTATGTTTGGGTGCTGAACCCCATACATGGAAACAGTATTCTGAAACAGGCCGTATTTGTGTTTTATAGATCATGAGAAGCTGTTGAGGTGTAAAGTAGTTGATTCAGCAGCTTTCGCGATGGATCGGGCATGATTTTTCCATGAAATAGTAGGGATTGCTGAAATACCGAGCAAAGCTATAGTGTTCTTGGTGGGAATGGTGGTACCACACATTGTTATATCAGGCATACTGAGTTCCGCCTATACCTGCTTGATATTTGGCGGCGTTGAATTCAACTAGGTTGTTGGTTCCCCAGGTTGTAATCTCATCAAGATCGTCATTGACAGCGTTGACCTGCCTTCGTCGTAACTTCTTGAATAGAAATGGGGTACTGTTCAGCATAAAGTTTTTGTGCTTTCAATGCATTATATGCCTTTTCTAAATTCGAATATTGATTCTAACTCAGGCAAATGGTAGTTTCACGGTGCAAACAATCCAGTAGTCGATTTTATCATCGTTCCCTTTGTTTTTCGGGTTGCTGAATCCGGATCTGGAGTTATCCAACAAAATTTCTTGGTGGGTTTTGAGATATTCGCACTTTTTATGGTTTTTCGCTTATAATTATTTGTGCAGCAGCAAAAACAAGTCACACCTTATTCAAAGAAGATTCAATTTCCCACAATTTGAGTATAAAAGCAGCACTGTAGGTCTAATGGTTCTCGAAATACACCACTTCTAATATGGGTGAATTTTTTCCAAAAATGATATTTCAAGTTTTGAATCAACTTTTGAACTAAACTCGGAACTCAATATTGGGGAATTCATATTTATCATTATCGGAATTGTTGGTGGAGGGAATTATTTACCACATTTCCCGAGATATCGGTATAATTCGCTTGGTAGAGATTTCATGTCAGTGAAATTTGAAAGAAATGTTCCGATATTGGACATTACTGGCCACAGTAAGCAATTTAGGAACACCAAACAGTAACAGTAGCTTTGAATTTTCATCCCATTTCGGAACTTTTTTCCCAGTACTGGACTACTGGTACACTGGCAGCATAACATAACCATAACCTCAATGATCTTTCGATTCGCGATGTTCTGTTTAGTTGGTTTTTATTTTCATCATTCCCATTCTTATTATTATCTTCTTTACTTACGTTGAAATTATGGATGGAGTGATTAATCATATTATCTTAGAAGACATATCATCTGATTCATCAGAAACACCAAGCTCCAAGCTCCTAGTACCTCTAGTTCCAGTGATGAAGAAATGAAGCATAGTTGCGAATTTCTGCACCAGTGGTACAGTGAACTCTAATAGGGTTCCTTGGAATGACCCGCGAATACGTTGCTAGTAAATTTCAGTATAATCGGAACGATAAAATATACTGGGCAGTACTGTTCGGGAATATCGGAACATGCTAGTTGAAGTGGTCTTTACTGAAGATATGTCGTCAAACGTCTCTCAAGAACACTTCCTGGCAAACATACGCAACAAAATTAGCATGATCTCATTAATGAAGGAGAAACTGAACGAGGCCAAAATTCAGTCATATCAAGCAGAGGAGGATGCTGACAGAATGACTATTACCACAGCCATATCATTATCATCTGATCACAATACAGTGGCTGTTATAGGAAATAATGCTGATTTCCTGTTGATAGGCTAGTCAGCTTCAGCCAACGTCTACTTCTTCAAACCAAGGAGATGGAGGTGTCATTAGCTGGTTAGCAATATAAACCTGCCATGTACGATGGATACTCTTAAAATATGCCCACTCTACCCCCAACCAGATCAGCAGCAAACCAAGATTTTCTGCGTTATTCTGTGCATGTGCAGCTATGAATGGGTGTCATGGGATGAGCAGGAAAAGTTTGGCTGGAGGCATAAATATAAACAGTGACATTGACCCATATTTGAAGTGCTGTATCTCGGGAACTATTTGAATTACAGTGCTGAGATTATACCTAGATTGTAGCAAATTTAATCTTCTTTAAAAAATGTATGATTTGTTTTTTCGCTACTTCTCATAGTTTTAGAATTATAAGCGAAAAACCAACACCAAGACCAACATTATTCCTTCTTCATATCAATGATCTGTTGGGAGTAACAACTTGCCCCATCCACAGCTTTGCAGATGATAGTATCCTCCATACTGCGTTCTCTTCCAGAATTCCCATTTCTTCTCAGGAAACTAAGAACTCACGGCGCAGGCAGGTCAATGCTGTCAATGAAGACCTTGCTGAAATCACAGCATGGGGAAACAACAACCTAACTGAATTCAACGCCACCAAAACTCAAGCCTGTATTTTCTCTAGAAAGGCGGAACTCAGTATGCCCGATATTGTAATGTCTGGTACCACCATCCTCACCAACCCCACCATATCTGTGCACGGTATTTTCATCATCAACACTCTTTCATGGGATAATCATATCAGATCCATAGCAAAAGCTGCTTCACAAAAACTCGGATTCTTGTTCCGTGCGAAAAGCTACTTCACACCTCAACAGCTTCTCATGATCTACAAAGCTCAGATACGGCCTGTTCTAGAATACTGTTCCCACATATGGGGTTCAGCACCAAAACATACAATGATGCTCTTAGATTCCATCCAGGGAAGAGCCATTCGGCTGGTGGGTGACGCCACACTCACACACGGGAAATGTTCTTCGGAAATCTCTGCTATCATCCCTTCACTAGCAATACCAGTCAGACGAACTAGACAAGCCCAGTCAGCAAATCCTTTCGTTGTCAACCTCGAAAGATGTCGAACAGCACTTTATCAAAACTCCTTCATCCATAGAACGGCTAGGCTCTGGAATGCATTGCCTGAGGAAGTATTCCCAACAACATATAATCGCCAGAAGTTCAAAAAAAATTCCAATACCTACCTCCTGTCCCTATCCTCCCTAGGAACGCACGATGTTCTTTGAACATTATAGGGATTTCAGGAAAAAGTTCAAAGTTCGAAAATTTCGTTGTTTTTTGCGTATATATCTCCAAACGCACCAGGAAATATTGTTGGATAGTTACAGAATCGCATTCAGTACCCCAAAAAAACATGAGGTACGATAATAAAGTCTACTACTGGATTTTTTGCAAGGAAACGGCGTATTTTCAATCAAATAATATTTTCTATGATACACATAAAACTTGTGAAACAATGAGAACGGTAACAGAAAATGACACTGCACAATCCTGGGGTGCCTTCGAATATTTACTCAGTGGAGTAGAGTTCAAAAGGTTACCGCACGTTCTATAGGGAAAATCGGCCTCCTCTCGAATTGGTTGAATTTTTGACAGTCGGTATTGTTGAATCCGTTATGATAATCTATAACCGATTATGGAATAAAATAAACACAAATAAAAATCCCTAAAATGTGAGATAGTGCCCTCTATAGAGCATATTCGATGTTCCAAATTTCAGAAATATAAATCATGAAAATCATCCATATCTCAAAGTGGTCTAAAAATTTCAAAAGAAAAACAAGCAACACAAAGTCAGTCGACATCACTTTAAATAAAAATCTTCAGTAAAAAGTTACCGGTTTCGGCACTACGGGATACTCAAAATATTATGTGACAATAATGAGGACAAAACATTTTTGTGAAGCCTGAAAAACCTGGCTCTAATAAAGTTGAAAATCTTATCAAAGAATTGAAAATAATTTGAATGGCCTGTGTTTTACTTCCTATCAATTGAGAAAAAGTTGGTTCTCCTCAATTTTTGTTGAATGAAATATTCAATTCAGTTGATTTTTTAATGCCGCTGTTAGATTTGAAAGCTTCCCTACAAAGATAACCAACTATAAGCAAAAGTTCCCCTCGGTTATCCAGAACAGCCTTTTTGCAGTTAATTTTTTTCAAATGGTCGTGTTTTGCAGAAAAATTGAATAACTTTTGAACCATCAACAATTGGATAACCAGATATCCGGTTAGTTTGATGGCAAATGACTCCCTTCACCACCCCACTTCTTTTGATCCATGACTTATGGAATACCCTGCATAAAAATTCAGTTCATAATCGTTAATACTCAACTACAATTTTGTTTTTCAGGATCGGTGCCAAATGTTCAGAGGGCTGCTTTAGTAAATCTCGGTGACTTGACAACTTACGATATGACAAAAAGGTTCATATTGACTCATACTGATATGGGAGATGATTATGTCTTGCATATTCTAGCCAGTAGTTGTGCTGGTTTCGTTGCAGCCGCTATGGGCACACCAGCTGATGTTATTAAAACTAGGGTTATGAATCAACCTTTGGATGAAAAAGGAAGGTAAGATATGTTATCGATGTTAACAATGTTTTATTCTATCATACAATGATATTGTTCATGTATTGTTATCATATCATATCTGTCGCATCCGAATTATATAAAAACACTTAATGGTTGAAGTTTATAAGGCGATTCATGAAACTTTCATCTCATTCAAAATGTTGTCCACTGAATTTGGTTAGAAGTAATAGACCGGGAGCCCACAACGTGTTTTTGTTTTTTGTATCTTATTTGTTCACACTCAGCAGCAGTATAAGAACCCGAAATCCACCTTCCACTACGAGGATATGAAATCGCCGAATAAATAATGTGGACCAAACAGTAAGGCCCGCGAGGGCGAACTAGTATTAAAAACCCAGGGTCTCGAATCATTACTCCACATTCGGCGTATGTCGCAAGTTACTGAAAAACAACATTTGGGCGGTCGGCATTGTCGAATGTGTAGGGTGGATACGATTCGCAGTGGCGCTGCATAGTGTTCAACGATTTTAAAGAAAAAATTAGCTTTGTTGATGTTCGGTATTTTTATAATTCATCTAATAATTCACAAAAATTGTACTTTTGTCTTGTAGAGTATGTGCATATGGTTGGCATTGATTTTATATTATTCATTGAATTGAATGAAAGTATAAAAATATATGCCAAATAAATTAATTGTAGTCTTGAAACCCAATTTTCGCTGTTAACGTTGGCCGAAATCAATACGTCGTCATAACAAATTTTCAAAACAAAGGAATGAACGACGAATGTATTGTATCTGTGTTAGTTACATTAAACAGGTCCAATCACGATTTTTATTCGGCGAGCTCATATCCGAGTAGCGGAAGGTGGAATTTTTGGGGTTTTTGTACTGCTGAGTGTGAACAAATGAGACACACAAATCACGTTGTGGGCTCCCGGTCTATAATGATTTATTTTCATCATTTGAAACACGGGAGGGAATTCCTATTATGTAATTTTCATTATCATTCCTGTTGAAAAATCTCGATTTTGAACACCCTATATCTCTGTAATCATTCCCGCTAGACCCCAAGTGTGATACATTGATCAAATCAGCTCTTCAGGGAGAATCTAAAAATACAATGAAAAATAGGGTGTTTCATTTAAAAAAATCAAATAGTACCCTGTAGATCGTTTGTTCCGAGCACCCTGTATTTTCTGATCTAGCGGAAAAAAACTTTATCGAAAATCATTCAAGATTATATTTCAAATTTTAAAATCGGTTCAAAAATAAGTGAGCTAGAGGGGGGGACATTTATGGTGAATCACCCTGTACATTTGTATTGATCGAGAAATCAATACTAATCAAATTGTGCAAAGACTTAACCATGATTACGGTTCTTACCACGCTTGGTTATTGAAACACCCTCTGGTTTGAATACAATTGTCATTCCAAAGCCTGTTGCATTCTCCGTACGGACAGCAAATTGTACGGAACGTCTGGACAGTAGAAGACATCCTCAAGTATACCTGGAAGACCCATGTTGCTGATGACATGAATCGTTCCTCTCTTTGTCGCAGTTATGTAGGCCTCATTTTTAGCTTTTTAGGATAATATTGTCTTTTTGTTATGAAGAAATTTTTCTATAAATTATGTGGTATAGCTATCAATATTTATGTCGTTTGCGTCTAAAAATAACCTCAATTTCTTTCGATTAGTTTATATCGTTTCTGTTCACAAGATGATCGGATGCTCCAGAATCTAGGAGGAATGTGATTTCATTATCTTCTTCTACAATGATGACACTTCAAATTTGAAGTTTTCCTAGTAAAGATTTGTCTTGGTTTATGAGGTCCTGGACGATGATGTCCAGCGGCTTCAAAGTTGTGCTTTCTTCTTCTTTTTTTTTCTGGATGTATGATAAATTGATATTCATCATACAGGACGTGGAAAGAATTTCTGAATTGATGTCAATTCTTAATTTCAGAGGATTTTCATTTTTCATGCTCTCTTTTTTGGATGTTCAACAGATATAATTCTATGTTCGACGTGGAGTAGTTGTTTTCTGTTGAATATTCAAAATTATATTATTTGCATATATCTGTATTTGAAGGAGAATCCAAATTCTCTACTTCAGAAGATTTTGTTTTCAAATTCTTATCGTGTATGTTCAATAGATGTAAATCAATGTTCGTCGTGGCATATAGCCAGGAAAGTAGTTTTTTCAGTTGAATAAACCGAGAAAGAATTGATATTTCCATCCATTTTTTATGTTCATAATTATATCTGAGAATATTCTTTTTTGAGCTTTCTTTTCGAAACATCACTATTTTCAACGTGAGGTATTTTTGCAATTGTATCGCGGCTTTCGTTTTCACAAAAGGTAAAGTCAAATTATCCTCGGATCATGTTTCTATGGCTGTTATCACTCCATCATAAGATTTAAAAAGAGTCAACAGGAAATGAGATACCTTATCAGTGTCTTCCATTTTTGCACCTGCTGCCAATTGTTCAATTGGACGTGGGATTTATTCATCGAAAACTTTAATAACGTCAAGTTCAGGTAACAATGCACGAAGTACACAAATACACACTAGTATTATTGAACTAGTACACTGGACTAGCACACTGGCCCATAACCTATTGGATATTGGTTCGTGTGTGAACTTTTAAACTGTATATTTGTTCTCTTCAAATCAAGACCACTCGGAAAGCACGCCAATGTAACAATCATCATATAGAAAACGTCTCTTCCCATCTGTACAGGGCTTTCATTTATATATTTTATCAAATAAACAGATATATCGTGGCGTTGGTGCCCTGTCGACATTCCTAGATATTCACAGATGATAACTACATTGGTTTATATTTAATTTTTGTCTACAACAAAATGTTACCCTAAAGAAGTACTCTTAGTAATACTTGATACTGTGTACCGTTTTCGGAATGTTTTGATCTGAAAATGATCAGTGATATACTGGTATGCTAGGTATAAAGTAAGTCTTATCAAAAAGTATTACCAATTTATTGAAAATCAATAACAATAACATGTTTCTAATGCTCAAGTTATACATTAATAAATGAAACACGAGATCATTGACATAAAATGACTAAAAACATGGATTACACAGTTTGGTCTTATCTTATGCTTGAGAAGTAAATTCACGTCTAAGAGTTGCAAGTCAAAATTGAACATCACTTGAATGATCTTACACTTGATCCTCAATCTTTCAAAAGAATAATACATTCTCAAGAAATAATGGGCATTTCCAGTAATTTCCAGAAAAATCATATTTGGTTATAAATGACTCTCAAGAACCTTGTACAAATTTTTTATTTTGGCCGGATCTTAGATAAAAAAATTATTGAAAACGGCAAAATGATCTAATGAATTCAAACGAGTATCAAAGGGAGGGAACCGTTTGACGTCAGCGCGCGAACGATTTCGATTGGTTACATGTTCATGTTGTATGATGTTGTCTCGCTTGCTGAAAAATCATCAATAAAAAGTTTTCCGATGTTGCCATATTACATAAAATGTACGAACTCTTAGGGCAAAACGAGGAAGAAATAAATTAACATCTAGATGGTGCAGGATATTTCAGTACCTATCTCACATAGAGAAAACTAGGTAGGTATTTACCTATCTAATGAGCTCGTAAGAGGTATTTTGGGTCAGGTATATAAACTGTACTTTCAATTGATTAGGGATGATTAGGAGATTGATCATCAAAAGATAATATAATATGTATTGATAGCAACAATTTAAGAACAATAATATAAGTCATATTTAATTGATTCTCATTTATGCTAATCTATGATATATGGTGCAGAAATAGCCAGAACATCATCAGTTACTATTCAATTTGAGTGAATATTGGAAATCGTTGGAAAAGGTTCGGCAACAGTGTTGGTGTGACTTTCGTGTTTGTGCTTCGACTGACGAGTGACGTCTGACCAAAGCATAACCTAACCTAACTTGAAGAGAAGTCTTTGAAATTATCGTCCGAATCGGAAAGACTATAAAAATTTCCAAAATGAGTAAAGTAGACGAGGGATTCGAAAAGGCAGCAGCAGATAATCTGCCAACTTCTTTGGATGTCTAAATTTCTTGGAACATGAACACATATTTTATTCAGATTTGTATTCTGGCGTATGGGGACCAAACACTTTTTGGCACTCATGTTTCTCACAAAAGTAATAAAATAACTCAAAACCAACAATCAAACAAACAATCAAACACAAACAAATTCAAAACTGAGGATGTTGCGTAAGCGGTTATAGGTTATGTTGTGGTTATGTTAAAGATTAAGCATAGTTGCCACATAAGTTATTATATTTTCCAAGGAGGAGGAACGTTAATGGTCAAAACACGTTTAAATTTGGTATATCGAGATATTTTGATGAGTATTAGTAATGACATGAAATATATCGAATTGACCGATAACTGAATCAGTTATTTATAGCAACTAAATAATACAAAACAATGATCCCAATGGATATTTGTGTACCTAAAATTATAATGAAAATACGCTATAATGCCCTCGGTAATATCTAATATTTTCAAGTTCTTGGTAGTCAGCAATGTATTGATCAAGATTCAGTTATTTGAATTCCTATTTATTTTATATCTAGATATTTTATAAAGACCTGGCAACTTTGTTGTTTCTCTCAGCTAATTCTGCCTCTCCGTCGCCATTACCATATTCAACCAATCGAATCACTACGCGCCCTGGCGTCACAAACTGCCACCATATTTTAAACGTTTGAATATTCTTGTTTGAATCATGCGATTTCGACACTGATTTTCAAGGCAATGGTTTGGCATAAAAATATAAAAAAAAATCTGGACTATGATTTGGATGGTCCTTCATAACATTATGACAAAAAAACTGCAAATTTTTTGAAACTGGAAATGCCCATTACTGTGTACTCTGCAAAAGAAGTACATTTTGAGAACTTTCAATATTTTATGTTTTTGCTAAAATTTATCTCAATTTTCTATTTGTGATCCATTGTTTAATCAATGAATTTAGTATTAAAATGATGTTATTAAATCTTTCTGATTTTTAACAAATAGGTTATTGATTTTGATAGTAGATATTTTATACCAGTTTTACCTGGAGTACCTTTTTGGTGTAAACTTGAATGATGTTTAAGTTAACAAAAAAATTGGACTAAAAAATCTAACCTCAGGAAATTTATGTTCAAAAATACTCGGTACAAACTGTGTACCTATCGCCCTCTATGAAAGTCAGATATAAAAACGAATTCATGCGATCTGCAAAAAAATATTCATACAAAATTTCCATAAAATGTTGCCAGTAGTTGAAAGTATTAATTGTTTTTATTCATCACGCCCCTGTATAAGCTTCCATAGTGCCAAAATTCAGTATAGTTGAGGACTGAAAAAGTCCCAACATTTCAAAATGATTCTTATTGAGGTTATTGAGTAATCTCAATGAATGTTTCGAGAGCACCCACATTAAAATTTGGAAACAAATTGAGAATAAGAAAGTTGATATTTCAATTGTTCAATCTAATAAAAATATGGAAGTCAGAAAAACCAGTGGCGTACAATGATATTAACCGTAAATATCGATAAATTAGCCCACTGTGACGCAACTGAAAATATTTTTTCTAATTTAATCACATCAAAAGAAGCTCCATGTTACATTCGACAAAACCACCAAGTTTCATTGAAATTGGTAAAAAGACATTTGAGTAATTGAAAAAAAAAAGATTTTCCATGGAAATATTAATACCCTGTATCTCGAAAATGAAGTTTGTCGCACTTATTCACTAACACCCTGTATATTTATAATATCATTTCAATGCTGTTAAACTAGTTCAATGATTTCTAGAACTTCTTTACCATTACCGTTTCATAATTTTTCAGAGGACTTCTTTACTCTTCATCTATAGACTGCCTAAAGAAAACAGTAAAGCAAGAAAGTTTCGGTGCTTTATACAAAGGATTCCTCGCAATCTGGATGAGGATGGCCCCATGGTCTTTAACTTTTTGGCTGACATATGAGGAAGTTGTTAAGCTTATGGGTGCAGAAAGTTGGTAGACAATTAGTTAGTCGTAGTCAAATTTATGGTCTGGTAATGTTAATTCAGCTTTATACGCCACCTGTTTATAATTTCATAGGCCTTTCTCTCTGACAACATTAAGACATACGAAACTCTTAGAAAGAAAGGCGTTTGCCCATTTTCGCCCATTTAGAATTGGATATATTCTGAAATGGTTTTAGTTTTGTATATTTCAATTCGATCAAAAGTTCGTACTATAAATTTTTTCAACAAGATCAATAGTTCGGGATTTGAAAATGCTACTATTGAAATGTAAATCCCACATGACGGAAGTATGTTATTTTGTGATTAGTTGGAATGTGAATATTACAGGTACTGTTATTTTGTAATACATTATAGAAAATTTAACAAAAAGATGAATGCTAAAATTCAAATTCAGTGATATAGTAGCACTATATTCTAGCGACAGTTAGTTCAATTCATATATTTTTATTTGAATATACTAGGCCTAGCTTAGCTAGAAAAACATCATAGACTATTAGAATACTTACGATCGTTCACTTAATCATTTCATGCATCAACATACCGCTTTCTAATCCACTTTTTCTTGTATGTATAAAGAAGTTCCAAATATCCTGATTGTAACTACAGGCCAGGTTAAGTTAGGAAATCCTAAAGCAGCGAGATGATTGGAATATTAACCTTGAAAGTTATTTTCATTCTAGATATTGCAGGATCCAAATGTGACTTGAATAACTTTGTTTTCATAAATGATATATAATAATTTTTATCATCGATGGTTATTGAGAATAGACATTTTAGTTGTTTGATTCATGTCTTGTTCAAGAACGTTAGCTATTTGAAAAAATATTAGGATATTTTAATTTATTCAGTTTCTGGTTTCAAGAATATAACAACGTTGCTCTCGAATGGAATATTTCCGTTTTAAACTAAAGTTGCAGTGTCATTCAAAGAACACTTTCAATATAGTTAAGGGAAAAGTCTTAAATTCCAAAGAATTTCAATATTGCTACTGGTGTAACTATGTTTCACTTAGTTACATTAACAATAATTAATTCTAGTCCAATAATGCCCGATTGAATTGTCAGTGTTCAATTCAACACGAAGATAATCGTACAGTATTGGCTAGGCGTTTGGGACCTGGACAACTAAATGGATGAAATATTCCAATGACTTATAATATCCAATAACGAATAATATCTAGTAGTTTTCCAGAACATTTTCAAATTAGAAGAAATATCCTAGTTCAACCATCTAACACAACATAATATAATTTCAATCTTCGTATAAATAGTGATAACAAAATGCTTTGAGGAGAATATAGGCGCGTGAGTATAACATTCTAAGTGATACCAAACTGAGCATAACTTTATATGAAAATGAAGGAACTAAATTCTCACCAATTATCGATTCCCAAGAGCTTTAATCCAACCAGAAAATTAGTCAATTGAATTACCTAACTTTTGGCCTATCTGATGCTATATTTAAGTTGTGCAACGCACGTGTACAGTAATTGAAAGAATCGTTGTAACACTAACCAAAATGATGATACAATCAAACTTCATGAAAGTTGGAGACTATCAGTAGTGACAACTTTGTTTTCACTATCTTAAATTCATGAAACGCCAGATATTCTAGGCACTAGTATACAGTAGTAGTGGCATTGAGTACCCGTCGCCTTCAAAACTGATGTCACAATCATATCTAATAATTTTGTTTTCGTTCCAAATTGAATTGTAATTTCAATATCAATTTCAGAATTCACTTCGAATATTGAATTTCGATTTTTTTTTCAAACATGTGCTTCATCAAAAGTAAATTCTTTATTTCTTGTTATCTTCAGTAGGACGTTAGTTTCAGTCGTGATACTGTGTTAGACATGGTAAGAAATTTATATTCTAATATTAATCCTAGCACATGGTGAGAAATATTTCTCAATGGCCGTTTCTATGCAGGCAGTGTAATCGATATTGGAGTCTAAGCATTGATATTACTTTTTTGTACCTGGACTATTGTATGTACTACTCGCTTGTGAATTGTAAACATTGTCAGATCTATTTCTCTGAATTGGAAATGAGAAAGCTCATAGCAGAAGCTGTTATGTATATATTTTGATTCAATGATTTTACGTAGCTAGTGACTTCCAATGATAGGAAAAATTAAATTGAAAGATAGAAATTAACCTAAAATCGCATATCTGGTTAAATAAATTGGGTACCTATCAAACAAATACATTTGATTGGTTTTCAGAGGTATATCTGTTCTTTGTTAACATCTGCATCCTAAATTTTTTTATCCTACTTATACATATTATTCTTTTCAAGATGACTGACTCTGACCTTATTGGACTTCTTTTATTATTCTTGGCTATTCAGATAAGCAAGTTGACATCTTAATGTGCACTGAATGTTGTAGACTTGATATACAATAGTGCCACAGTTTTTATAAAAAAGATGATTATATTTTTGTAGGTGTATAATAGTTATAGATACATATCCGAAATGTATATAAGACCTGAACATTTGCTATGATGTATTATACTTTGAATGTATTCTTGAATTTTTATCTACACAAAAACATACCAATTTATTGTTTTGTTATTTCGTATCTAGAGACTGTTGAATAAAAATAATAATAAATTTGAGTCTATTATTGACATACTGATAACATACAGAAATAATCTAAGTTATGGAATCACTCATGTATTTCGGTAACATAAACAGTTCAAACTGATATTACCGATTTTGGCAAAATGGAATAGAGAATATTTCTTCTAACTAGTTACTACCATCCTAAGTGCACTTTTTTGGCAAATCGACCTAGGCGTTAATTCGACCTCACAAAGTGTCACTATTAAGTGCTAAAATTATTCAATCAAAATTTTGTCAGTCTGTGCCATCTCTCGATGAAGGTAAAAAGTTGTTGAACGAAAATACTGTAATAGTTGAAAATAAAAGCAACATTTGTCTGATCTTGTTTATGTAAACGAATATTTGTGTATATTTTGCTAGTAAGTCAAGTCGAAGTTATCAATCAGTAGGTGTTAATGGCTTCATTTTCATGTCATTCCAAATGTCAAATTTCAAGCAATGACAGCTCTGTTAAATAGATAAGCATTACTTGAAAGGAAATCAGATGGCTACAAGTCAAAGAAATAGAAAATGTCGCTGTTATATATCTGTTACAGCCGTAGAAAAAGTATAGTGTATAACTCGCAGGGAAAGTTAAGTTTCCACTCGTTTGATTTGCAGCATTCTCGTAGGAAATGACTATCATTCTGTGCTCGTTAAATATAATAGGTACTATTCTCAAACTACTATTCACTATAGGTACCTCCTGTCAATCACGATTTCTCAAAAAACTCAACTCATGAAGCAAAACAATCAAAGAAAGGGAAAGGACCAAAATAGCACCCTGAAACCCTAGCTATTCCGAACTTGATTATTGAACTGATTATGAATGAAGTTTATATTCTATTTTGTGTTATTAGTCTTAGTCAAATGTTCTGAATGTACAATAATACATTTTCAACTTTGATGCCTTAACTTGAGTCAAATTTGTAACATGGAATCTTAAATTGATCAGGATCAAAAGAGCCTAAGTAAGTTTTTGGGTGAAAGAAGTATCAAAAATTCAAAATTTTTAAATTATTTTCTTACGTAGAGAATTCTGAATCCATTATAATTCACCAGAGTATACAGGGTGTTTCATAATTGAATGCTGATCCTAAAGGGCGATGATCCTTGGATGATTTTAAGGAGAGAAGTTCATATCAGCATGTCCTGAACCTCTTAGTTTTTGAGCTACAGGGTGTTGAAATCAGAAGCGTACAGCGTTTTTTTTAAACAAAACATTCAATATCAGGTCTACGAGGACATCACTGGTAAAAGTAAAATTTTGATTTTCGTCCCGAAACGAAATGTGTTTTCACTCATAGTGGGTGTCTACTGAATTACCAAAAACAATATCCAAGAACTGAAGGAACAAAATTCTTTGGTTTTTATTTTTTTACGCGAAAACGGTACGTTGTATGAAAGTAAGTCTAGGAACCAAATTTGCTCCAAAATGAATAAGAATTTGAAAAAAAATCTGGTTCTCAGAAAAATCAGTGGCGTACTATTGTTTTCTTCAAAAATTGTCAGTTCAAACCTCGTACGGACGCCACTGGTGAGAATTTTTAAATATCTTTCACGTAAAAAAATGCTCCTTAATAATGAAAAGGTGTATACAAAATATCATAACAACATCTAACAGTGATAAAAAATTATGATGAAAAACTCATTTTTTTCTTGAAATTTCATCACCCTGTAGCTCAATAACTAAGAGGTTTAGGACATATGTTGATATGAACTTTTCTCTTTGAAATCATCCAAGGTTTATCGCCTTTAAGGATCAGCATTCAATTATGAAACACCCTGTATAAGAAATCATTGAATAGCTCATAGGGATTTTTAAAATCAACTGAACTTCAACCTTCATTATCTCCAAACAACCATTTGCGGATTTAGGCTGTTATGTTCCTTACCCCTTCATTTATACTCCCAGGAAAAAACATATGAATCAACAAAACATCTCTGAACTTCAATTCCATCAATTTTTGGTTGACCTATATGAATCTTCCTGTAGAAGTTACAACAATGAAACTTCGTATCTAAATATTCGTCCATTGAATGACTACTTCACCGGTTATATTAACTCTTTAGATTTTGATACAGGTTTCATTGCAATAAAGTCATATAACCTGTGTGTGAGAGATAATATGTCCCATATCACTGATATGAATGATTATTTTTGGAAGTTTTCAAGCCCATCAAGATCAGAGTTTATGCCAGTATACTTCTCCTATACATTCCAATTTTCATTTCAATGCTGAATATATTGGTAATTCATATTATTAGGCCAGGAAACTAGTTGTTTTCTATTGAATAAACTGAAAAAGAGTTGATATTCTCATCACATAGAGAATGCGAATTCTCAATGTATTGCTTTATATATAAATATACAGGGTGTTTCACAG